CCCCCCCCCCCAGCCTAGTTTCTGGACTTTCTTTGGTCTTTCTCATTGTGGGTAAGATTTTGTGTGACTTTGTTCTGTCAGACTAGCTTTATCAAGGAATTTCAACTGTATTGCTGATCTATTATGATTTTGGAACGCTTGGTTAGGCAGCAAAAGAGGTTATTTCTGGGCATCCAAAAGGGTGGAACAAAATAAATGGCATTGAAATTCAGTTTCCTTATATGGCTTATTCTTGGCCTCAGAGCAACAAATCCTTAATAGAGCAAGTCTTTTACAGAGACTTGTGTTCTTTTCCATTAGTAAATTTAATTGAAGAAATGTGGCACTCGAAAATGACGGTTTCAGCCTGCTTTTGGGTGTACAGGTGTTGACTTTTATTCACCGTTGAGGGAATATTAGTATTAGTAGTATGTCTAGACGCAGGCAATACACTTTTGTGTCTGTCTTTTGAGTTATTTCCACTCCCCACCGTCCAGATATGACTTGTGATTTCCTAAGAATTGTTAATTTAGTACTGAACAAATGTAACAAATTTTAGGGCTTGTGTTATTCTTATCAAACAATAAATATGTTCAAAGCCTTTGGAAAAACAGTGTTACAAAGGTTTGAAAAGATACACATTTTAGAGAGAATAATCAGTTCATGTATTTAAAAATGGCTTCAAAATTTGGAAATTCTTTGTATGTTTGGTTTCTTAAATGAGCAAATACAGAGTACTCCCACAGTACTTTGTTTATAGTGCACAGAATGCACATTGCATGGCTACTTGTTGAAGGTAATCGTGCTTTCATTAGTGATATACTTAGGTCATCTTTCAGTGAATCTATTCAAGTAAAAAGATTTGAGGTCAGTTTGCTGTTTGTGACCAAACTGTTGCAGTTTTTTTTTTTTCAGGTATGAAAGTTTACATGGAAACCAAATTTTTGTGTGGTGTTCTTTAATGAAGTGGTAACCATAAGTAGAGATATTTTACATATATCTGGTGAATCTCTTACTATTCTCATTTTGGACATGCTGGCATTGAGCTATTAGTAATACGTAATGCCATAATGACTCCAAGGAAGCACAGACATTTCAGAAAATTAGGGACATTTCCTTAGGCATTCTTTTGATAAATCCTTATAGATTATGTGATCTAGTATTTAGATTATGGCAGTGCTTCTCAAACACTTGGGATTGTGCAGAACTTTAGTGATACATAACACACTGACTATAACTTCTATTTGCCTTTATGTAAATACACACATTGTTGTTTGAGTTTTCATTTTGACCCATTGTCTTGCTCTCTTCCCTTTATATAAATATGTTCTGTGCTTTTGTTATTATTTTTTCTGGGAACACTGTGTTATAAACCCATAATGATGTCTTTTCTGTGTTTCTTTCCAGACTACATGTACTGTGCCTAGGTTTATCTGTTCACAACAGAGTATTACGATTTTGGATGAATGCTTTCAGTTGCCACAGAAATGTAAACATGAATTATACTCCATAATAGCTACTTTAAAAATTGTTTAAGGAAATATTCTCAGCATTTCTTCTACCTTTCTCTGATTTATTGTACATTATTGGTTTTTTCCTCCTAGGGTACTTATTATCATTACTTGGCTCCTGAGTCATGCTATTTCTTTGTCTCTTAGCTTTCTCCTCTTAGGTTCTCTAATTATAAATAAATTAATCTAGCCATTATTAAGCTTTCTTTTTAAATTATGTTAGCTTTCTATTTTTATATTTAGTTTACTTCCTGTATTTTCTCCATGGTCAGCTCTGTTGTTTAATTACATTGTTGCCCTTTCCATCTGGATGGATAATTTCATTTAGAAGGATCAGCCTAAGGCCTTATAAGGTTAAAGATCTCCCAAATCTCCAGGTTTTTTTTTGAAATGCCATACCAATCTATCATCCCTAATACCAACTAGTATTCCTTCCTTCACTATTCTAGCTCACATCTTTGGGCTCAGTAATTTGCTGCAACATCTCACTGAACTCAGATATTAAGGGAATGGGTTATGTGGTTGTGAAGGTTAGCGAGTCCCAAAATTTATAGTTTAGACACCAGTTTGGAGGATTCTCTTCAATTTCATGGCTTCAAGGACTGACAAATCCAGAGCGGCAGGGCAGATGACAAGCTGCCGACTTACAAGACTGCAGAAACTTGTGAATCACATCAGGTGATAGGCTGCTGGCTTGAGACCCAACAACCAGAGATCACATAGAGTTGAGCCAGAGCAAGAGATGAACTTTACACAAGTATTATTGAGGTGCAAGAACAGCTGAAAGCAAAAGAAGCAGCTCTTAGAATGTTAACCAAGCAAAGGAAAGTGCCTATACTCAAGTCACCCAAGTGGTCCCAAGTCCTGGATCAGGGGAGTTTTATGAGAGTCTCATAATTGGCCCTCATCAGGATGATTCAACACAAAAACTAGTCATCTGACTATCTTTAGTCAGGAAAACCAACTGCTATTGAGTTGCTTCTGACTCAAAATGACCCCTGTATAAGGTTTCGGAAACTACAGAACTGTTGGTGGTTTTGAACTACTGACCTTGTAGTTAGCAGTCCTTGTCTTAGGATGTAGAAGTGTGTTTTCAGCCTCATTAAGGTCAGGCTGAGGACACATTGATAATCACTAAGCATGTTAGGTGGGTCAGATCTGATCTCAGCCAGTTTTGTGACCCCTGCTTCTTGTCTTCATTAAGCATGAGGTGGGCAGTTTGCCTAATTAAAGAAGTGCTTAAAACTGGAAGTTCTTGTTTTAACATATTTCAAAGATGGCTGCTAATTTACTGACCTCAAAAGTATTCCTTTATATTGGATGTAGACCACGCCCCCAAGGACATTAAGGGTGATAACTTGCCACACCCTTTAGTATAACTTGCCACACCCTTTAGTAAGGTGGGAATTCAGTACATCCTACCATAATCCTCCCTCTTTAACACTCCAGACTCCATGGAGGGCAACAGGTAGGAGGGCCATTTAAGTAATTCACTGCATCACACCATCTTTCCCAAACCTTACTAGTCCACATGTTTATATCTCAAAAAAACTATTTAAAACAGTAAAAAGTTGCTTTGTGCCCCACTTAATACTGAATAGCCCTTTTACATTCTGACTTGGTGAACCTGTCACTATTTTCACTTGGATACTTATTGTTTATACTATGTTTCTTCATTTTTCTTAATCTTTAATGGCTCCAGAATTACCTTATGTAGTTACTGTTACAATGAAATGCTTAAGATTTACACATCAGGCTATTAGGTTTTTAGGTGAAGACAGCATGCAGTGCTGTCTCTACCTTGTTTTATCATGTTTTTGACCTTTGAAATCATAC